AAAAAAAAAAAAAAAAGAATTATGCTGAAAACATGCGACATCTGAGCTTTACTCAGATGCTCCATCGCGTTTCATCACTTGTACTCTGTGTGGTTATGCATGCTGCCGACTGTGTGGTCTTTCTCTTTTTCTTCTTTATGATGTCATCAAAAAGGCGGCATGTCGCAGAATTGGTTTCGACCGCATCCGTATGGGGTTTATCCTCGCGGGAATGCACAGGGCGTCGAGGACTTGATGCTGCCACGGTTTGGCACACTCTCCCACATTCAGTGCGCTGCGAAGGGGCGGGCGTCCAGGGGCCGCATAGCTGCAAGCGAACCCTCAGAGGATGCCTTTGTGGAGCTGCTCCTCCACTTGCTCTCCTTCTGTTCGGTGAAGGATCTTTGCCGCCTGTCGGCAACCTGCACAGGGTGGTATTGTTTCATCCATGCCTCGGATGCCTTCAAGCAGGCGCACGACATAGTATCGCACCACCACCTGCGCTTTTGCGGTAGCTGGAAGGAGACAGCCGTACGCAGTTGCCTCCTTCAGCAGAAAGAGGATACAGCGGCGAGCCCAACGAAGCGGTACAGAAAAGAACACTCCACCACATCTAATACCGCTGCTGTTGCAGCTGAGGATGATCATGATGATAATAATAATAATATGGTTCTCAAGCATCGTCCCATTGCAGTACGGCGTGCATTCTTTAATGATCTGCTCTTTCAAGCATGGATGTGCACCATCCTTCCGTGCCACTATCATCTTCGGTCAGATGCGGGCACAAAGGATGGCGCGGCGTGGCTGGGCGGAGCTGACGGTGTCCCGCAGGCCCCGCGCTATCGCTCTGCACTCAAGGAGGTGCCACGCTGCAGTGGCCTGTCGCCGGCGGAGTTTCGTGAGCGGTTCGAAGAGCCCAACTTGCCAGTTGTTCTCACCGACGTGGCAACAAGTTGGCCTATCTTCGACCTTTTGCAGGGGAAGTTCGAGAACCTCGCGGCCAAAAGAGCGGAGCTGTTTCGCCCCGGCATTTCTCCGGACGTCCCGCTGCGTTGCGAGCACACCACAATGAACGTCGCCGAATACGTGCGCTACGCGGTGGAGCAGACCGACGAGCGCCCTATTTACCTCTTTGATGCGGAGTTCGGTGCTTCAATGGCGGTGGAGTCGCTCTACACCGTCCCCGCACACTTTGGCGGCGACGATTTCTTTAAGGTGCTAGGCGACTCACGGCCAAAGTACCGCTGGATCATCGCCGGACCGCGCCGCGGTGGCAGCAGCTTCCACGTTGATCCAAACTACACTAACGCATGGAACGCCAACTTGACTGGACGCAAACGGTGGATTCTGTTTCCACCCGGCTGCACCCCCGCTGGAGTTTTCCCCAGTGAAGACATGTCGGAGGTCACAACGCCCGTTTCGCTCACGGAGTGGCTGTTGAATCACTACGACGCGAGTGTAGAACAATGGCGAGATGTTGGGTACGAGTGCATCTGCGAGGCTGGCGATATCATGTTCGTTCCCTGTGGATGGTGGCACTTCGTGATAAACCTGGAAGACTCCGTGGCGATCACGCAGAACTACGTGTCGGAGTGTAATTTGCCGAGTGTCATCAAATTCCTCTCTGCCATGAAGTCATCGATCAGCGGCATTGATGAGGATGCCGACAACGCCACAGGCGAAATGGTGGAGAAGCGGCGCGCCAACTTCGTTGGTGAATTCGTCGCTGCCATGCGCACATCGTATTCCGACGTCATGCAGCGGGTAGAGAGTGCTCTCGCAGAGGAGGAACAGCAGCGGCAGAAGAGGCGTGAATGTAACGCGCTTCCACTGCTGGACGCTGGTGCTGAGGGATTTACATTTAACTTTTGACGGACTAAAATTTCTTGCTTGCCAACGCGCTGAAGAGGGCAGAGAATTCTCTGCGTCCTCTGGTGTTTGTGTGTGCTCTCGTAGTCGTATGGGCTGGTATTGCCGTCTTCTCTTTAACACATACATACTTTAACATACACTACGCATTATATATATAGCAGCTGCTTAGAACGAAGCATTTGAATGTGATGGGATTCTTGACGAATTACTACGAGACGCTGGCCAAAGAGGGCAACCTGGAGCTACTGATCACCCTCGGCATGTACGATGAACGCGTTTATGAGGTTGTGGAGCGCAACCACCTGGCCGGCGACATTGCGGATATGCTGCCATCACCGCTGGCGGCGCTGTTCCTCTCTCGGGGAATGGCCTACGACTGCATTAACGAGGTGGTCATTCGTAACTTCGTCAGGATTTGCATGATGCTTTCCCGTTACAAGACGGTGGAGGAAGGCGCAAGCCTCGCAGAGCTTATTGGCAGCTGTGGTATCCCTGAACAGTACCGCATGAACATGTTCAACTTTAGCGAGACGTACCGCCACATGATCTTGTCACGGTCGTACTTCCCCCAGCGATCGGTGCTGCGGCTCCTGGCGTACATCTTCTGCGATGACGTTCTGACAGACGCGGTGGCGCAGCTGCAGTACAAGTCAGACATCCTGAACCACGTGAACAAGGTGTACGTCGACACCCCGGACTTCGTTTCGTGGCGTTTCTCCGTGCGTGTCATGTCCCTCGCCGGAGGCTTCAATGAGGACCGCGGTGACGTTGAGTACACTGAGGCGCTAACCCGTATCGTAACGCGCACCATCCCGGAGTTCCTCGTGTACTTTACTGTTACCTTTGTGTACGCCATGTTCCGTCACTATCCCAGGCGCGTCCGCGGCATCACCCCGCGGTGGCTTGCGCGGCATCGCGCTCTGTTTTCAGCATCGTACTGCGCCCTCCTCGGCGTCTACGTAAACTCGTTCCTGGAGTACCGCCTTCATCAGCACCGCTTGCTGTACGAGCTGCGGAAGAGCCAGGAGTACCGCCGCCGTCGCGGTGCGGCGCGGCGCGGCGTCGAGTACCCTGCTAACCCGTACTTCGATAGCCTCGATGGCGTCACGCGGCGCATCTCCTCTATGCAGTGCACCGCCTACGGCGTTACAGGCATGGCGCTGCTGGTGTCGCTGCTGCCGTTGGCGCCGGTGAAGTTCCCCAAGTGGATGGGCGATGTGGCATGGCGCCACCCGTTCGTTCCGCGGCTCTTCCCTGCACTGCTGGGGATGCACACGGCGTCGCGGTGTGCGGTGCCGTTTGTGTTGGCGCCGTTCGTGACACTTACGATCGCGCGCGCCAACGGGTGGGGGGCGACGCTGTACGACCGCTACGTAGAGTACCGCATGCGGATGTGGTACCGCAAGGTGGAGGTGGCCTTTGACACCTCGACGGATGTCGCGGAGGTGGACATAACAAAGGAGCAGCGTCACGGAAAGGTGTAGCGACCAGTGCCTTGGCTTGCGTGTGCATGCGTGGAGCGAGAGGGAGATAAGGAGGATGAAAGAGAAAGAGAATGGGAGAGTGAGAGAGGCCTGTCGGCTCGCAAAACGCGCCGTTATGCGCGCTCTCTGTGTTTTTCTTTTGATCACATCTCTACATGGGTAGCGCGACCTTCTTCCCTCACATCTTGTTCTTTTTGTGTTTACGTCGGCCACTACTAACCCTTGCCTCTTACCTTCACGCTCCCTTTGTCTCATCTGCGTCTACCTCCGCGCCATGTCGTTTGCTACTGCAAGAGAGAGACAGAGAGAGAGCGAGGAATGCTCATTGACAGCATTCCCTTGAAGGTCAAGGTGGGCGGCCCCGCGCTGGACTTCTTCAACCTGCAGAGCATTGAGGAGGACATCAATGCCGCTCAGATCGTCATATTGAGTGCGCGCGACGCACTGGCCAGCACGATGCAGGCTGCCTCTCGCACCGAAGACACTCCAAGCCACAAATACGAACATGAGGCGCTGCGTTACGTCGTCAAGAGACGAGCGGTCATGGATGCTTTCTACATGGCCGAAGACGTCTTCCACATGCACCAAGTAAAGGCAGGAGACATCATCGAGGAGGAGCGCAGTGCACGCCTGCAACTAAATCTCCTGCATGCGGAGATCAAGAAGCAAGTTTCTAGGGCACGGCGTGCCGAGTATTTCATGAGCGCAAAGTGCGTTTTTGAGCGATTTGCGGAGGAGAAGCGTGCGTGTGAAGAAAAGATGCGGATGGTGCAGGAGCACAGCGATTTTCTACTCTCCCTGAAGATTGCGGAGGGGGATCAGCGACAAGATTCCATACGCCGCGCGATGGCGAGGCGATGGGGTTCGTTGCAGCCATCAGTCGTGCAACAA